CAGGAAGTCATAAATTCAAGCCCAATCTGAGTAATTTAGCAAGATGCCACGTAATAATATTTTTTTTTTTTTTGTATTTTAGGGAAGGGTCCACAGGATGTTCAGGGTCTCACTACTAGATTGGACTCTAGTGATTATCCTGGTTACAGCCTCCCAAGAGCTGGGATTACAGGTGGGTACCACCATGCCCAGTCTCAATTGCGTTCTCAGCACCCTGGGGGTGGGTCCGGCACAACAGGCCTGGGGATGGAACTCCTGGCCCCTGCGCCTGCTTGAAGGTGCTTTAATACACTGAGCTATCTGGCCGGCCCTCAATAATAAATTTTAAAATGAGTTGGGGATGTAGCTCAGTGCAAAGATCCTTGCTTAGTTCATTCCCCATTGCTGGAGGCAGGGGAAGGCTATATGTGCTGGTACAGTGAATGAAAAAATGTACCAATACCAAAGACTCAGCCTTTATCCTCATTGGTTTTACCTTCATTGCTGTAGTTGGTGGCTGCCAAACTAGGCACTATGCCTATGTACTCAGGAGCAAGAAACAGAAAGGGGCCAAAGCTATTGCTGTATCCCCATCCACTGTGTTCCTCTCACTAAGGCTTCAGGAAAGGCCCCACCTGACAGTTTCCACTTACATCATTATCTGTTCCCCATCTCATAGCCATTCTAAGTTGCAAAGGAGTCTGGGAAGATGAAGTAGGCACTTTCCTATCACAAAGAAAATAAGTTCATTTTATAAGAAAGAAGAAAATGAATGCTGGGTAAGCAATCAACAATGTCTATCCCAAAATTAAATGAGGTATTTGATGCAAAGTGCCAAGCATAGTGCCTAGCACACAGTTAACAGCTCAATAAAACTTATGCTATAACCACTATTGCTGTATCATAATGATTATTGTTGTTGATTTTGTTATTCAACTGCTTCACTCTCTGGTCAAATTGAACAACTTATTATATTCACATGTGCTTTACACATTTCTTCTATATCTACTGCTCTATCTATATCTCCAACAGTCTCACTGCACCAAGATCCAAAAAATGCCATTTCATCCAAGAAGTCTTTGTTTCTATCTATTCCTAAAATAAATTCCATGATTACAAGACCCATTTCAGACTAAAACTCTTTTTACCACTACATTGAACATTATCTCTTCGAATGTCATAGGTTCTAAAACACACTTCCTTAATAATTTGACTTAATATGAGCATATACACACCTGCTTTTTCAGTCATTCTAAATAAAGATTGCATTCTCCAAGAATGAGAAGAAAAAAATATAAAATTCTCTAATAATACAATACTTTATACCCATTGTGGGAATTTGGATTGTTGTTCACCAAATATTCTCTCCCCAACTATAGGCAGTGTACTCTTACTCAGAGAGTAAGGGCTTTCCCCTGTGACTTCGTCCTAAAAATAGATAGTCAGTGGAAGTGACATTTGCTTGCTTGCTTTGTCTTAGTTCTTGACTCCACAGATGTGCCATGAAAAGAAAATGCCCCAGGTATCTGCTTCTCCTTTAGTCTGGGCTTTAGAATATGTGTAGAGTGGACTAGAACCCAACTCATACCCTACAGGAGAGCCACCCCCGAAACCCCCACCTAGATCAGCCTGAAACCTCAGGAGTTGGAAAATAAGTACCTGTTGCTATAAACCAGAGAGTTTTATTACGATGTCAAAGTGGATTAATATATCTTTCTTTGATATATTTTAGTATTTTCATGTTTATTCATTTTGTTCCTTTTGTTGGCCTAAGAAAGAACAAGCTAAAGAATATCTACTTTTGGTATATTACAGATTGCTACTCTTGGATCAAGAGTTTTAAATTTATGAGACCCAGGTTATCATGAACATCAGTATTTTTCTCTTTTCTGTTTGTTCTATTGTCTTCTAAAATTACAACAAAATACCAAGGAATAGTAATAACCATGCTGAAACTAAACTACTGACTGACAAATAGATCTCCCTATGACAGCCAAAATGTTAACTTTGTTAGCAGATCTCTTAAAGGATAAAGGATATCCAAGTAAAACAGGATAAATGCAGATTGTACAAAAGTCAGTGTGACCAAAGCCAAAGACATCTGTTGAGATGAATTTGTTGATTCTGACATTATTCAGAAATACTTGCAGAATACTCATCTTGACAAACCTCCACCATTGAATTTCACCAGTAAGATGTGACTGATAAGGCTTTTGTCTGTACCTTTTCCAATGTAAGAAAAAGAAAGCCACACTATTTTAATACAATAACTCTAGATATAAGTATATTTAAGCCCTAATGAGAATGGGCTTTCACTCTTTGTAAGTGAAAGAAAAAAAAAAATGAAACTCTAATCCCTTAATGGGAGAGGAAGAGCCAACTGACTGATGTTAAGAGCGTCTATTCAACCAAGACCTATTCAAAATTATAATTGGAAATTCCAAGTATAAAAGAAAATAGAGAAGCATAGATTTTGTTTTGTTTTGCTTTCTTTTAAATCTTCATCAAGTTTGGACCTAAATTTCCATGGGGCCAAAACTGCTGTACTAGAAATATAGAATACATGAAATTGCTGTTTGTTTATTGGCAGAAATAACAGTCTTCAAATGAAAGGCAAACAGGCGGATACAAGAACCATCAACATCACAGTGGCCTCTCCACAGGGTAGGCTCTGCGTGTGCAAGAAAAGTCACACTTCAGATTGCACAATCAAAGTGCAGGCCGCACAATCAAAATTTGAATTCAAGGCCATGACAAGGTCATGGGCTCTGGGTCAGACAAACTATGACTGACTAAAGTTCTCGCTTTCACACTAAACTATGGCAAGGTACTTAATTTTTTAGTTTCCATATCTAACACGACTTGGAGTAATACTAATACCTCCCAGGCTCTACAAAGTTTAGAAAATGCAATCTGTGTACTCAATGCAGTGCTTATAAATGCAAAAGTAGTAATGATAAAAGTAATCATAACAATGTTGCCTCCACAGACCTGGCTTCTAGATGAAGATGACCCTGATCACTGCATTCTGGTTCACAATGTGGGCATGACATGCTGAATTCACGGTGTTAGGTTCACATCCAGGTACAGCTTTTATATGGTGCTATTTCTCCAGAACAAGTAGTAATTACTCTAATGAATTCAAGGAGAAAGGTCTTGGAAACCCAGCCTTTCCCTACCAGAGAACTGAGAAGGAACTGGCCCTACATCCACGATTCTTCAAGCATGAAATTATTGCTAGAGAAAACCATGATTCCATCGCGATCCATACTCCCTCCCCACAAAATTGTGGAATGCTTTTATTAGAGCAGAGAAGCAAACCAACAAGATGGCTCACATTAGAAAAAGGCAAACTCTCGTACCCTCCAAAAAGAACATGGCTTGACCTCATCACTACCTCCAAAGTGACATCCTGCAAAAGAGAACAAGGCAGCCCTCACTTCCTTAAGTTGAGTTACAGTATTAAAACGCAAGAAATACTTGCTGTGTATGCGAATCCTAATAACGCACATCTTCCTGCTCCAAAAATACCTTATAAATCCATCCCATTGAGCTGAGAGCCAACTACTATACATTCAGAAACAATGTGACTTTACAAGGACAAGAGTGATCACAAGAGACAAAATGCCACACCCTTTTCCCAAATAGCTCAACAGTAAATGATGTCTCTTATAAAGAAGACCGAAATCTGGAGGAAAAGATGAGCAATTCTAAGCCCTCAACACTCCCCACATACACACACACACACACACACACACACACATTCATTCTTTACTCTGATTTATTTTCATTTTTAAGCCAACAGCATCTTCAACTACTACTACAACTAATGCAGGAGAGAGTGAGGAGAGAAGAGAACGTAAGTCAAACATACTTGCTTCTAAGCCCATTTTCGAAGAGTTTGCTTTCTACTCGTCTGCCCTCACAGCTGAAGCCCCACACCTGGTGGAAACCAATGATGAAGTAAAACCACTGACTTACAGAGCCAACCAGAAAACTAACCATGACAAGTAGGAGCGGCCCTCCTCTCTCGAGCATTGATTGGCTCTTGGGGTTCCACCGGTCCCTGTTCCACCCACATAAGTGGCAGGTGTGACTGTCAATCACAGAGGGAACTGACAATTCACGCTCAAGGAGTAAAATTGCCTTTCATCCAGCAAAGGCAGGTAGCCGCCTAAAATCGATCTTCCCTAACAGTGCGGACCCTCCCTCTCTGGCGAACAGAACAGAGACCCCCTAAATACAAAATAAACAAGGCAGGGCGGAACAGAGTTTAGGAGCGCTATTTGATGATCCTGCACCTACCATCCTTTAATCTTCAATGTCCTAAAATGATCTTTCAAAGGTTGGGACAGTAATAATAATTTTTAAAAATTAGGTTCATGTTCCTAAAGTATCTCTTTTCTTGTATTATTAGGACGTGGGGTTAGGGAGGTAGAAATGTTCAGTTTAATTTCAATTTATATTCCCGTTCATATACTACCAGCTCCAATCCCCTCCCCAATAAATCCGTTATCCTTTCCACTACTCGAGAATTTTTTTTTTTTTTTTTTTTTAACCTGCTCCCTCGGAACCCACCTACCTACCAGTCAACATCTCAGCCCCTGGGCTGAAGCTTGCCTCTCTCCACTTTGTTCTGTTGGGGTTCCGCGCGACCCCCGCCCCCGCGAGCACCCACCCCTGGAGGCTAGAGGGAAAGCCAGGCAAAGAGGGGGCTCGGAGAAGAAAGGCGAAGGCAGCGAGGACCGCGGCCCGGGGGGCATTGCGGGAGGTGGCCGGGGCTCGGGGCAAGCGAGCGGCGTCCGCGCGCCGAGGAAACCGTGCACTTGTTCCAATCCGGGCTTACACATCCAGGCAAATCCGCCCGCAGGCCGCCCCATCCCTTCCCCCGCCCCAGGAAGCCCGGGTGGAGGCGGGAGGCGCACCCCTCGGCTCCCCCGGATAACGCATTGCAGCTCCCCACGAGCGCGGGGGACCCGCACGAGGGCTGCGCGGCGCCCGGCCCGGCGGCGGCGTCTCACCTTTCCGAGGCTCGCCGGGCCGTCCCACATGGATTTTTACAATCTCACGTCGCCTCGGCCCGGGGCTGCCGCGAGGAGCCGGAGCCGGCGCCCGAGCGGCCGGAGCGGGAGGAGGCGGCGAGGCGGAGCGGGCG